AAAAAAATTAAAGTATAAACAAATGAAAGATATCCTATGTTAATGTGTTGGAAGACGATATTGTTGAAATGTCTGTATTACCTAAAGTAATGTGGAGATTCAATGCAATCCCTATCAAAATAACCCAATTATGTCTTTCACAGAAAGAGAGGAAATAGTTCTAAGATTTATATGGAATCACAAAAAACACCAAATAGCCAAAACAAGTTCAAGAAGAAAGGGCAAAGCTGGAGGCATCACACTTCCTGATTTTCAAAATATATTACAAGGCTATTTGGTATATATTAATTTAATAATTAAATGAAATTTTAATATAGTAATTTAAACAGTATAGTACTGGCATAAAGAAGGACATATAGACCAATGGAACAGAATAGAAAGCCCAAAGTAAACCCACATGTATATAATCAACCTATCTTTAAGAAAGGCACCAAGAATAAACAATGGGGAAAGCATCATTTTCTCAATAATTGGTGCTGGGAAATTTGCACATCCACATGCAAAAGAATGAAAGTGGATCCTTGCTCAAAATGGTTTAAGTGCTTAAACATAAGTCCTGAAACTGTAAAACTATTAGAAGAAAATATAGGAAAAAAACTTAATGATGTTAGTATTGGCAATGACTTCATGGATGTAACTCCAAAAGCATAGGCAACACAATGAAAAACAGCCAAGTAGAAATACTTAAAACTAAAAAGCTTTTGTCCAGTAAAGGAAACAATCAATGGCATGAAAAGGCTGCCTACAGAATAGGAGAAAATATTTGTAAACCATGGTATCAGATAAGGGGTTAATTTGAAAATATGTTAGGAACTCATACAGCTCAATGCATAGAAAAAGCAACAATTAATAACCATCTTTTAAAAATATGCTTTGGGTTTGAATAGATATTAGTCCAAGGAACACATACAAATGGCCCACAGATAGGTGATAAGATGTTCAACATCACTAATCATTCAGAAAAATGCACATCAGAATCACAATAGATATCACTTCACATGTGTTAGGATGGCTATTGTAATGATCTTTTCATGGCATTCCAACCAGTAGTTTCCATGTACTATTTATCATTCTACTTGACTCCTCCCTTCTTTATTTATAAAACAAATGATTGCCTTCTTACAGATTACAAGGCAGAAATATATTATCTTAGTTAACCAAGTCTATAATTCATATAGGTAAAAATCTATAATGAGGAAAAAAATTTTTAAATTGGAATATTTTAGAAAGAATAGTTTACACTGGGATACTAATTTGCTAGAAAACCAGAACATATCTGAATATTGAGATATTGACCTAAAATAAAATAATAAAATAAAGCAATTAATAATACTTCTAAGAAAAACTGACTCATTCTTAGAATGTGAGCAGAAAGTTAAGAAGGTAGATTTTGGGAAATATGTTTAAAATCAAATTTTGTAGTAATTTCTACAGCAAAATTACAACCATGAATACCTTAAAAACACATACATTCTACCAAAGGTAATGTTTTCTAAACCTTTATATATATATATATGTGTGTGTGTGTGTGTGTGTGTGTGTGTGTGTGTGTGTGTATAATTTTAATATATATACAACATATATGTATAATTTATGTATATATACATGACATATATATATATATGTAATTTTTAAAATGGTGGGAAAACAGGAAATCATTTAAAAGTAACCCTTTGGGCTTTGGCTCATGCCTATAACCCTGGCACTTTGGGAGGTCAGGGCAGGAAGATGCTTGAGCCTAGGAATTGGAGCCCAGCTTGGGCAAAATAGTAAGACTCTATTTCTACAAAAATAAAATAAAATAAACATTAGCCACACATGGTGGTATGTGTCTGTAGTCCCAGCTGCTCAGGAGGCTGATGTAGGAGGATCCTCAAGCCCAAAAGTTGGAGGCTTTGATGAGCTATGATTGTGCCACTATACACCTGTACTCTAGCCTGGGTGAGAGAGAGGGACCGTGCCTCTCCTAAACAAACAAACAAACAAAAAACAAAAGTGATTTCTTTATAGAAAAACACAGCCAGGGGTTTCAAAATATTTAATATTTGAAAATGTATAATTTCTTGACCATCCAATATTTTCCCTGATTCCTTAGGCTCAGATAGAGGCAGCAGCAATCAAGAATTATAAATATGCTAATATGTGTCTAGTTTTGAACCTGTCTAAAAAGCACTGAGGTGGTCTGAATTCTGATTCTCATTGGAACCTTTTGTTTCAAGCAGATTTTTTTTAATGTTGCCCAGCTAAACTTTAACTTATAAATCATATAAAATTATGTAAATTTCTTATTCAGGCCAACCCCCATTGTTTAAAGTAGAAAATGTTACTTTAGTGTGGGATCAACATAACTATTCCCACTTTACAAGATAGGTAACAGACACTTCAGAAATAAATTCGAGCAGCTAATTAATTCTTGAGGAATAGTAGAGTTCACATGTTTTTTATTTCCATTATTAAGAAATTTTCATTTTTGTTTAAGACATTTCCAAACCAACAGTGTTCTTAATTACAAATATATCTGCTTAAACTACATTTTCTTTTGATTTATGACTTTTGACTTGTAGCAATGGGAGGTTTAAAATGCTTCTGTCTGTAGTTAGATGACTTTGGTACTCTTCTTTTGCTTCAAAGTCTCCACAGATCTAAAATTTAATGTGACTTCGTATAAGAACATTATATAATTTGTTAGGGTGTCATTTTAAGAGAGTTTAACTTAAACATTATATAAATTGGTAGGGTATCATTTTTAGGGAGTTTAAATCTAAATTATATCTAAAGATAAACAACATATGATTCTAAAAACACAAAAGTAAAGCTTGATATCAACAAAATAATTTTAGGAATATAAATATTTCTTTTATTTATGCCTTTTTTTTGAGATGGAGTTTCGCTGTGTCGCCCAGGCTGGAGTGCAATGGTGTGATCTAGGCTCATTGAAACCACTACCTCCCAGGTTCAAGCAGTTCTCTGCCTCAGCCTCCCAAGTAACTGTGATTACAGGCACCTGCCACCATGTCCTAAGAAATACAATAATTTTTGCAGTTTTAGTACAGACGAGGTTTCATCATCTTGGCCAGGCTAGTCTCCAACTCCTGACCTTGTGATCATCACGCTGTGCTTCCCAAAGTGCTGGGAACAGGTGTGAGCCACTGGACCCGGCCCCCAGGCATATAAATGTTAAGATTAGACTTTGTTACATATGCAAGAAGTTTGTAGGTGTGAGTTCCTTTTTTTCTTCCCTTTGTCTTTTTAACATGTTAGCTCTTCATGAATCATTTCTACCAGACTGGGGTAGTGAGGGAGACAGAGGTTAAAAAAAAAAGTAGATGGTCTTTTCTGTCAGTTATCTCCTTATTTTAAAGAATGGATTTTTTTGTCGTTGTTGTTGTTGTTTTAAGAGCACTAACTATTGAGTCAGAAGACATGACCTTGAATTTAAAACTTATAATAATGCCAGCCTTATAACTTGGGTGTTTGAGTCTTTCCCACTGATTTTTGTGTTTTTTGGATATGGTGAGAGGAAGGAGACAAGTAAGTGTTGCTGAATTAGAGAATTTGAAAGGGAAGCAAATCCAATCTGTATTACTTGGGGAAAGTTTAAAGTCAAACCAGGAAGACCAGACAGCTAAACAAACCCTTCAGGTGAGGTGTCTCGTAAAGGACAGACTCATTAAGTGAAAAAAACAGAGCAAGAATCGGGTTTTAAGGAGGATCAGAAAAGGTTATTCTAAAAGAGGGAAGAGAGGGAAAAAGCAGTCCAGGACAGCCAGCTCGGAGGGACTATGGCTTTTATGATCAGACTTTGGCTGTTTTGCATGTATTTTATACTGTATTTTCTTAAAGAACGGAGTATGTCAGTAGTGTGCTGGACTTGACTCAAATTGGCTCATGCAATTTTTAGAAATCTTGCAAGCTGATTATTAAAAATAAGTTATATAAACTTAAAATGAATTATATTGAAAACAAAGACAATACTCAAAGCTCATCACTCCCACTTATTATAATACATCTTGTTATTACGTATGTTCTTGAGATTATTTACATCTATTGTATCTGTATGTTGGTAATACTATATAAAATTGTGTTGTTGTAAATCACAAGTCCTAATTTGTAGCATTTTCTGACTTGCATGGTATAAATACTCCCATCATGGCTGATTTGAAACTACCAATGTGACAATACTGAATGCAGACTTGGGAAGAGGTGCACAGGAAATTGTATATTTGAAAATGATTATGTAATTCAATAAAGAAATCATATCATGGTTTAGCATATGCCTTAGTTATTTAATTTTTATCTTACTCATTAGTATATATAAATGTTAACCAACATTTATATTGTCAGTTGTAACTACAGGTTGGGCATGGTTGTAAGATAATTGTAAAAATCAACCAAAGCGTTCTGTGAGAATCAGGTAGCTATAGGGAATTTACAATACAGAATAATATCTATGTTAATATTATTTGTAAATTATTTGCTACACATCCTTTATATCAGTAAAGGTTGTATAAGCTTATATATGTACACATGCTTATATACATAAACATTTTCCCACAATTAGGGTTGCAGTTGTTAAACATTTATCAACAGACCATTAGGATATTAATCTAAGTTCAACTGTCTGTCAAAGCAGAAGAAAACATCTTCCCTGTCTATCTAGAAAGAGGATGAGATTAGGCAATATATATGAAAGTTTGTTATACACTGCTAAGTACTATACAAATAACAAGTAAGGTAATGATTAGGGAAAGCACCTTTTCTCTTCTGGTCCAGGCTTTCTTCAAGGTTTTAAAATGACAATATCTTGACTTTCTGAAACAAAAAGGTTTCACTGGAGAAGAAAGTTGCTTATAGCAAAATTGTGTCAATTTTCTCTATCTCTGATATTTTTCTTGCTTATTTTAATAATCTTTTATCCTAAACTATAAAATAGTTCATTCAGAATGGTTATTTCTATTTGCATCTGAATTGAAACCATTGTGTTTTTTCAATTTACACAGCTGAGAACAGGAAGCTTTGAGTACAATTTGAAAAGAAAGAAAGAAACAACGACAACCCTATAATATCATGGGGAAATGAGGTAAGCAGAATAATTACTAAAATTGAAATTTGGCTAAAATGACAAGTTCAAAAACCCAACTATTTCCATATGTGCTCTTGGATCTTAAATAATTAAAAATGGCCATGACTCATTTAATCAATGTAGGAATTGACTCAGAGAAACCAATATAATTTGTTCATGGATGCTTATGATTATTACCACTTGATGACCTGGCAGACTGCAGGAAGATTGGATCAAGTCAACTCTGCTTAATTTTCATCATTTGCTCAAATTAAAGTACAAAATGATGTTTCATCCTATTCATAGAGCTGAATGTCACTCCAATAAACATAAGAGAAGGACTCTAATTACAACTGGAACACTTTTTTCCTCATTATGTTATAACTTTGATTTATAAAATGCAGACTAGTGTTATTCAATCTAAGAAGTTCATTAGAATCCTTCATTTAAAAAACACTAAATGCTAGTACCAACCTGCTGGAATCCTCATTTGGTTATTTTGAATTTGGACTTGGTATTAGTATTTTCTTTTTAAGTTTTAATGTCTGGCTGGGTTTATGATATTTTCCTATAATAAGTACTTCTCTAGAGGTCAGGCTTATTAAAGGCTAGTCAGAGCTATTTATACCTATAATGTGAATATCTTGTCAAAGATGCAGATTATAATAATTTCTTCTTCATACATTTGTTAAAAAATGCTATAATTCTCATATAAAAGTTAAACTTACCTAATAGAAAATGAATTAATACTGTTATAAATTAATATTTTTCACATAAAGATGGTCAGTTATCACCTTTCTTTCCCCCAAAATGTTAAAAAATTGTCAGTCATCACTTAGTGTAGTAAATATCACCTTTATCCTTAGTCTAGGCTTGTAATCTTTCTAATCACTCTGTATTCTACTTTGAACCTAAAATTACAGATGAAACTCTAAGTTCAGTGTGGAACGTAAGTCTTCATATTGGAACCAGAATTCCCTCAGTGTTTTCAGGGCTGTTAGCAACTTTCCTCTGCTGTAGAGATCAATGGTCCATTTAGTCACCTAAAACTCTTAGAAGTATTTGAAGGCATGGCCTAAGGTATCTTTGGTGCACTATTTTTAGGAAGTCTTTGATATCCTTTGAGTTTCTTTATGAAAGAGCAAGGAAACAACTCTATTACCAACATCTAAATCACCCCCACATTCCAGTTTGAAATACACAGTTGCTTTCAATGAAATTTATTCATTCAGTCCACAGCATATCATAGAGCTCCTATTCTATGAAATACATGCATATCTGAAGGTTCTGTCACTAGTACTTCTGTACTATTCTCATATACATGTGTTAACAATTGTATGTATTTGAAATTATTTATAAATTATTACAATATTGAATTCTCATAGTAGTTCTGTAAGCTTACTAAGGGTCAGAGGTTATATTATTTGCCTTAAGTAATACTTCATATAATATGTAATGGTTGTGTCAGTGGACAACCTAGAAGAGGATCTTAGTATCCTTTTCATTATTCTTCACTGGTGTTCTCAAAACCATTTCAATAAACATGCTCTCCAATGAAAACCAGGGAGCTTCATAGGCAAAACACTTGAAGTTAATTTCTCTAGATACCCCTTTCACAAGATTGTCATTCTGATGCTCTCTCTATATAGAAATCCTGGAGCCTCCCCTGGTAGCACTGTACTATGTTCTATTGAATTACATGGTATCATCTCTGAGTAACCTCTGGTTCATTTTTATTGCAATGAATCAAAAGTTGTAAAACCACCTTCCTAAGATTACAGAATTAAGTTATATGCAGTTGATAAGAGTTATAGATAATGTTGAAATATTTGAAAGAAATTTAAATCTCAGGCTTGCCTGTTTTCAAAGCCAGTGCTCTAACTGCAAAATGTCATGAGACTAGTCACTACTAAAGTGAAAACACATCATAATTAGTGATTAAAACAAAGAATATTAAATATCATTTTATCAGAGTAATATTTGTTCCAAAATGAGTAGATACATGCTAGACTTTTACACTCAAATATTACAGAATTTTTTGTTTCACTGAATGACAAATGTATTTGAGTCCTGGTTTTACCACTTAGCATTGTATGATTCATGAGAGAAAGAAGCTGGTTCAAGTTTTATCTTTATCCAAAAGGTAAAAGTCAAAAAAACTATGAGCTTTTTTTCTGGGAAATTTTTCCCTTTTAATTCCGATGACTGCTTAAAATTGGTGAGTCTTATAAATTGCTAATAATTGTTACTAAGTGGTATTAATTTGCTTTTTGTGTTGACACTTTTCTAGCTTTACAGATAGTGCCACTGAACTAAATAAAGATTTCTAAATCACAGCTTAAGGTGTAGAAAAAGTGACTCTTGAATAGGGATTATTTGTGAAGATAGAGTCTGTGCTTGCCCAGTGGCAAGGCAATGTTTTCCAGTGATTCTGCTGGGGTCTATTAAACTACAAAGCAAGTCAGATGGCATATTTTTGCTTTACTTTGCTGACAGTTGCATCTCACAGAGAGTACAAGAAGCAAGAGGGAAAAGTTTTTAAGAATATAATTCTTATCAACATGGGATAAATAATTAGTGAAAGTAGAAGAGTTGGACACCTAAGGAGAAAAACAACTATGCATTCCTAGAGTATGTGATATCCAGAAGAAAAATGCTAAACATAGTAGAATAGTAGGCTAGATACATTTAAACTTCTAGAAGGCAAATTTGGGGGGAGAAACAGAAAAATAAATCCCACATGAGTGTCAAGACTGCAATTTTGGCTGTATAATCACAAGTGATCCAGTTAAGGGATAAAGGAAATTTTTGTCTTTAAAATTAGTGCAGGTCAGGTCAGGCCTGAGGGAGGCCTATACAACAAATTATTCATTGCAAAAGATGGGAAGGTTGATGTTAGGATGTCTAAATGAATATAATAATCTGTGGCTTGCAAAAATACTAAAGTAACAATGTAGGCCTTTGGAAATTTATGTTTAGATCCAAAGCTCAAAAAAAGGAATAGGCCCGCTGCTTATAGCTAATACCATCAAGTCAAGGGATGGCACAGAAGAAGCTGATACCCTCAGCTCCTAATTTGTTCCTGCATCCTTTCTAAATGAATCTTAAAGCACTAAGAAAATATTTGTAAAAATTAAGAAAGACAAATTTAAAATAAAAATAATGAGAGATCCCTGCTACTGTAGAAGTGCAAATTTCTGTCTGAAAAGAATTATATGCAAAGTTCTTGTGAAAAGTCACTGTATGCATATGGTTGTTGCTGATATCCTTAAAACAAATGGGAACATTAAAACCATGCAAATATTTTCAGTTTTTTGGTTTTTTTTTTTTTGAGACGGAGTTTCGCTCTTGTTACCCAGGCTGGAGTGCAATGGCGCGATCTCGGCTCACCGCAACTTCCGCCTCCTGGGTTCAGGCAATTCTCCTGACTCAGCCTCCTGAGTAGCTGGAATTACAGGCGCGTGCCACCGTGCCCAGCTAATTTTTTGTATTTTTAGTAGAGATGGGGTTTCGCCATGTTGACCAGGATGGTCTCGATCTCTTGACCTCGTGATCCACCCACCTCGGCTCCCAAAGTGCTGGGATTACAGGTGTCAGCCACTGCGCCCGGCCCATATTTTCAGTTCTTAAAATGGGAAGCAGGCCAGGCACCATGGCTCACACCTGTAATCTCAACACTTAGGAGGCTGAGGCAGGGGATCTTTTGAGTTCAGGAGTTGGGGGCTATGATGAGCTATGATCACACCACTGTACTCCAACCTAGATGACAGAGTGAGACCCTGTCTCTAATAAATAAATAAATAAATAAAAATAAAATAGGAAGCAGTGAATTCAACAAAGTAGACAAGTGATATTTACATCAATTCCTGGAAAGTTTCTAAGATTCATGAAAATTTCTAAGATCTATCTTTCTAAGATGAAAAGACCGAGTTTGAGAGCCAAGAAAAAAAAAGCTGTAAGACCAGGACACAGTATGAATTATCTACAACTAAGTGTTTGTAGATCAATTCCTTTCTTCCTCAATGTTGCTGTACATACCACTACGTAGACCTTCTGTGGTCTGTAAGTACATTGTACACTTTCGTTCTCACTGAAGTACAGCTAATTGTTTGAAAATCTTCTTCACATATTTGCCTGTGAGGAACTTGAAAGCAGGAGGCTTATATGTTTATATCCACAGTGCATCTTTGAAAAATACTTACTGAATAAACTAAGGGCAGATGAAAGGAATGCATTTGAAAATTTCGTTTTAGTGTTCTATTCAAGTGTCTTCTAATGTCCTAATAATATCCTTGTGAACAAAAGGGAGGAAAAGCATATTGACTGCAAGAACAACTAAGGAAATTAATAACTATTGAAACCCAGAATATTAACAGTGTTTTTAAATAAATCAAAGTGAATGAGAGGACTTGTTTCTAGTAGTGTATGGCAGGCTTCTGTCTTTGGCCCTGTCTTGATCTACAGTGAACAATTTGGATAGAAACATGAAGGATAACTCATTAAGTTCATGGTGACACAAACTTTGGAATGACAATACAGAAGCCAGATCTTAGGATCAGCATCTGAAAGCATTTTTTTTTTTTTTTGAGACGGAGTTTCGCTCTTGTTACCCAGGCTGGAGTGCAATGGCGCGATCTCGGCTCACCGCAACCTACACCTCCTGGGTTCAGGCAATTCTCCTGCCTCAGCCTCCTGAGTAGCTGGGATTACAGGCAGGCGCCACCATGCCCAGCTAATTTTTTGTATTTTTAGTAGAGACGGGGTTTCACCATGTTGACCAGGATGGTCTCGATCTCTTGACCTCGTGATCCACCCGCCTCGGCCTCCCAAAGTGCTGGGATTACCGGCTTGAGCCACCGCGCCCGGCCCTGAAAGCATTTTTTACAGCATTAGAAAAGATTATGGAAATTTAGGAAGAATAGTCTAAAGGAAGTAGGATAAAATTTAACAGAGAGAAGACATAATTGGGTCCAAACAACAGATGATAAATGTACAACATGGGATGCTTTATGGCTAGG